AAAGAGGGGCCAGGTGCCCCCAAGGGGTTGAGCTCCTGTGGAGAGAGAGGCTGGGAGCTGAGCACGGCGCGCAGGTTACACCCAGGACACACAAGGAAAGACACCGGGCTAATTCTGCTAAGCAAATCAATGCCCACGGGGTCTCAGAGGACTGGCCGGAAACCCAGCCTCGGCCCCTCATGCCAGCAAGTCGCGGCTGGGGGTTTTCTAAGCAGCAGCAGTGAAGTCTCCTGCAGAGCCAGAGCCCAGCAATCAGCCCTCGTCCTCCCGGGGATAAGGACAGAGGCTGCACAAAGCCAGGCCCTGCAGCTGCAGGAGGCATTTGCACGCTGGGGACCAGTACCAAGGGGCTCTGGCGCTGGGCGAGGCTCCGCACCCAGAGCAAATCTGTTCTTGCTGAGCCTGGATCGTCCCAGCACGCACGGGGACGCAGCCTTTCCAGACGTCAGGTCTATGCACTAGGCAGGAACCTCTTTGCCCAAAGCCAGCATGCAGCCATGGCTGGGGAGGAACCCAGCAGCTCGCTTTAAAGCAGGACCCCGTGTGTCCAGCTGAGCTCCGCGCCCGCACCCTGCACGTGGCTGGGCCTGGCCTGGGCTACAGACCACGCTGGGGTTAGCACGGCGTCTTGCTCGACTGCTCACAGCAGCATTCACCGCCGGTAAGACAGGGCAGTGAGGACAAGAGCCAGCGATTACCCAGACCGGACCTGGCAGCAGAGTCCCGACATGCTTACAGCAGCGTGGCCTGGGGCATGCTCCCTCGCAAGGCACGCTGAAATGGTTCCTGGTGCCACAGATCCTCAATGGGGCCCTCAGTACGCAGCTGGATCTCTCCAGGCCAACCCCTGCTCCCAGATCCACCACGCCAGCCCCGGCTCTCCCCGGGCATCCCTGCCTTGGCTGCTGCAGAGAGACAAGGACTGCTGCTGTAGCAGCTCTGCTGCAGGACATTGCTGATCTAGGACCGGCGTCTGGACGAGCAATCATGGCGGGGTGCGGTGGTTACATGCCAAGCAAAGAGCAGCAGCCCCCAATTTGGAAGCAGGGCCCTTCCCTTTGCACGCTAGCAGCCAGAGAGAGGAGGTCTCGTTCACATCCCAGCCCCCGCAGAGCAAGCCCCGCCTGCTCCCCACGTTCAGGTGTGACTCCTTCACCCAGAGCCGTGGGGCTGGCAGGGCTCTGCGGGGCATGGGCAGTCCTGCTCGGTCCAAACCAGCCCAGACAAACCCCGTGTGTGATCTCGGAGCCGCACGACACAGTTGCCCCCGACACAGCCCCAGGCATCGCCCCCACCCCTGCCCCTGGGGTACAGCGGGGCCGCAGCCACCAATGTCCTGCTGCTGCCAGGGGGGTCATGGGCACTGCAGAGACCCCAGGCCGAGGCAGAGGAAAGCAACCCCCCGCCAGTGCGGACCAGTCTGAGCAGGGGGAACCTCTTCCTGCCCCAGTGCAGTGGGGCTGAGCCTGAGCGCAGGGCAAGACCCTCCAGCCGGGACCTTGTGGGGTTGGTGCAGCAGGAGCATTGGCACAGCACAGCCCCATCCCCAGCCTGGGCTGCAGCCGCACCCAGTACCTTCCACTTCAGCTCCCCGTTTACACCGGGGTGAGAAGCGGATCAGGTTAATCTCCCAGTCCCAGTTTGCAAAGCGGCTGCAGCTGCCTGGCTTCCTTACGGGGGGCGCTAGGCTGGAGACCATGCTCCGAATGCCCAGCCCCTGCCTGCCAGGCATGGGAGACCTCCGTGGAGAAGCAAACTATCCTCCTAGCCCCCTCCCATGCCATGCAGGCCTTGCCGGGCAGCCAAGAGGACCCGGGTCTCATGCCGTGAGACATGGAGAAGTACAGATTTGCCATTGGGGAAACATGTGATCCTTCCCTATCCCTGCAGCCCTGGTCATGGAAGTCCAACAGGCCTCTCCTGCCTCTGCCCACCAGCCTGCAGGCTGTGGTTACAGGGCTGGGGTCTCCCCAAGGTCACCTTCCCCCTTTCATGTCTGCAGGTAGGAATGTAGGGCCTGGGGCTTCGCTGGCCCAGCTGCGGGGGAGAGTGCGAGGGAAGTGGTCCCAGCCTGCAGCCTTTTGAGGGGAAGCCCCCAGAGACCCGTCTACACTAGGAAGCCTAGCACCGAGCTGCTGGCCGACTGCGGCCTGTGCCTGCAGCCAGCCTCCCAGAGCAGCGTAGCGGGAGGGCGGCGCTTCTAGAGCTGAGTCGCCATCAGTGGCTGCTGGCAGC